ATATTTCTTATTGTTTTTCCATTCTCTCTTTCTGGTGTGCTTTTACTGTCCACATCACCAAACATTTTCAAGCTGGGTAGAGACATTAGCATATCTGTTTTAGAAAGACCCTTTCAGTAACAGAGTGCAAGATGGTCTGGAGGAAATTATCAGTGTAAAGGGCAATGTCAAATGAAGATGGGGAAGAGAGAAACAGATGGGAAATTTAGAATTCTGAGGGCCGAAACAGAAGTATCATGGGAAATGGGGGAGAAGGAAGAATGGAGGACAGCTAGCTGCAAGGCTGAGCCACTGAGAGCCTTGTGATATGGACACAAAGTAGAGAACACGCTTACATTTCTTCTAATGCCTGATCTTCCTATCCATCCTACAAAAAGCCAACAATGTTCTTTCCTCAAAAACATCAAGAGAACTCCACTGCGTGCAGAGCCACAGCCTTCCACACGCCCCTCACCTCTCTTCCTAGAGACTTTTCCAAGTTTCCCTGACAGAAACCTTCCCGACTGTCCTCTGATCACTCTCTCCCGCTGCCACTCCCTGGGGTCGTTAGTTCTCCTAATAGTCCCACCCTAGCCATCCTGGGTCTGAATTTTTCTCACGCTTCAAATCCTGGCACATCTCTCAAGTCTTCCTGACCAGGTCAGGAAGTCACTCTCAAAACTTCGGAAAACCCAAAGCAAGCTCTGCAACAAGCTATTAAGCATTTTTACCTTCTGAGCAGCACCTCTTCTAGGGAGCCCTCTGGTCCCTCTCAGTTACCAATTCTTGGTGCTCCCACAGGACCCCGCACTTCCTCTACCATAGAAGTCACATGGAATTACGTTATTCCTGGGATAGCCATGGTCCATTGTACATCACAGGACACCTCAAAATTCACCGTCTCCTCGTGTGAGCCCTTTTCCAGCGTCTCCTAGCCCACTGAAGAAAGACAAAGACCTAGGGCCCCAACAGTGCTGACTCCTTCTTACAACCAGAGCACCTCCAAACCCGGTGACCGTCTCCTCAATAACCCAGAGTCCCTGCCCTCTGCTCCCGCCCTCGCTCCGTCTAATCCTGGCTGCGGCCCTCCATTCTGGCTCTCATTTGTTCTCCGCGTAGCAACTGCAATCACTCTCCAAAATGAAAATCTGAGCATGCCAAGCTGTTCTTAAAGATTTCAATGACTTCCTTAGGATAAAGACAAATATATGAAGGCTTAATCCTCACGTTAAGCCAAATACTCCTATTATACACCCTCGCGGAACTGTGAACCGTCTCCTCCTGCACTGATCACCACCGTGGCTTCACGTGTATCTGATTCTTGGGTTACTGTTCTGTCTCTCTTCACTACAAGTTCCATTCCGGCGGCCCCTCCATGTCCCAGCGCAGTGCCCGGCACGCGGCGAACTGTCCCGTAAACGTGCGCTGAACGAGTGGGTGAATGGAATCCTCTCCTCGCGGCCCCGGCCGCCCGGCCCTCCAGCTCCCTCCCTCCGCGAGCCCGGGCGGAGGAT